GGACCTGACTGTTAGAAGGAAAACTAACAAACAGAAAGGAATACTATCAACATCAACAAACAGGATAACCATACCAAAACCTCATCTGTAGGTCACCAACATCAAAGACCAAAAACTGCAAAGATGGGGAGGAACCAGAGCAGCAAAGTAGAGAATTCTAAAAACCAGAGTGCCTCTCCTCCAAAGGATCGCAGCTCCCCACCAGCAATGGAACAAAGCTGGACAGAGAATGGATTTGATGAGCTGACAGAATTAGGCTTCAAAAGGTCTGTAATAACAAACTTCTCCGAGCTAAAGGGGCATGTTCTAACCCATGGCAAGGAAGCTTAAAAACCCTGAAAAAAGGTTAGACGAATGGCTAACTAGAATAAACAGTGTAGAGAAGACCTTAAATGACCTGATGGAGCTGAAAACCATGGCACGAGAACTTTGTGATGCATGTACAAGCTTCAATAGCCAATTCAATCAAGTGGAAGAAAGGATATCAGTGATTGAAGACTTGGACAAAGACTCAAGACCCATCAGTGTGCTGAATTAAGGAGACCCATCAGTGTGCTGAATTAAGGAGACCCATCACCTTCAGAGACACACATAGGCTTAAATTAAAGGGGTGGAAGAAGATCTGACAAGCAACGGGAATGCAAAAACAAAACAAAACAAAACAAAACAAAACAAAACAAAAAAACCGGGGTTGCAATCCTAGTCTCTGATAAAACAGACTTTAAACCAACAAAGATCAAAAGAGACAAAGGCCATTACATAATGGTAAAGGGATCGATTCAACAAGAAGAGCTAACTATGCTAAATATATATGAACCCAATACAGGAGCACCCAGATTCATAAAACAAGTCCTTAGAGACCTACCAAGAGATTTAGACTCCCACACAATATTAATGGGAGACTTTAACACCCCACTGTCAATATTAGACAGATAAACGAGACAGAAAGTTAACAAGGATATCCAGGACTTGAACTCAGCTCTGCACCAAGAAGACCTAATAGACATCTACAGAACTTTCCACAGCAAATCAACAGAGTATACATTCTTCTTAGCATCAGATCACACTTATTCTAAAATTGACCAAATAATTGGAAGTAAAGCACTCTCCAGCAAATGTAAAAGAACAGAAATCACAACCAACAGTCTCTCAGACCACAGCTCAATCAAATTAGAACTGAGGATTAAGAAACTCACAAAAAACCACACAACTACGTGGAAACTGAATAACATTCTCCTGAATGATTACTGGGTAAATAACGAAATGAAGGCAAAAATAAAGATGTTCTTTCAAACCAATGAGAACAAAGACACAATATACCAGAATCTCTGGGACACATTTAAAGCAGTGTGCAGAGGGAAATTTATAGCACTAAATGCCCACAAGAGAAAGCAGGAAAGATCTAAAATCAACACCCTAATATCACAGTTAAAAGAACTAGAGAAGCAAGAGCAAACAAATTCAAAAACTAGCAGAAGAAACAACCAAGATTAGAGCAGAACTGAAGGAGATAGAGACACAAAAAACCCTTAAAAAAAATCAATGAATCCAGAAGTTGGTTTTTCAAAAAGATCAACAAAGTTGATAGACCGATAGCAAAACTAATAAAGAAGAGAGAAGAATCAAATAGATGCGATAGAAAATGACAAAGGGGATATCACCACCAATCCCACAGAAATACAAACTACCATTAGAGAATACTATGAACACCTCTATGCAAATAAAATAGAAAATCCAGAAGAAATGGATAAATTCCTGGACACATACACCCTCCCAAGACTTAAACCAGGAAGAAGCTGAATCTCTGAATAAACCACCAACCGGCTCTGAAATTGAGGCAATAATTAATAGCCTACCAACCAAAAAAAATCCAAGAGACAGATTCACAGCCGAATTCTACCAGAGGTAAAAAGAGGGGCTAGTACCATTCCTTCTGAAACTAATCCAATCAACAGAAAAAGAAGGAATCCTCCCTAACTCATTTTATGCGGCCAACATCATCCTGATACTAAAGCCTGGCAGAGACACAACAAAAAAAAGAGAATTTTAAACCAATATCCTTGATGAACATCGATGTGAAAATCCTCAATAAAATACTGGCAAACCGAATCCAGTAGCACAACAAAAAGTCTGTCCACCACGATCAAGTTGGCTTCATCCCTGGGATGCAAGGCTGGTTCAACATACTCAAATCAATAAACGTAATCCACATAAACAGAACCAATGACAAAAACCACATGATTATCTCAATAGATGCAAAAAAGGCCTTTGACAAAATTCAACACTGCTTCATGCTAAAAACTCTCAACAAACTAGGTAATGATGGAACACATCTCAAAATAATAAGAGCTATTTATGACAAATCCATAGCCAATATCATACTGAATGGGCACAAGCTGGAAGCATCCCCTTTGAAAACCAGCACAAGACAAGGATGCTCTCTCTCACCACTCCTATTCAATATAGTATTGGAAGTTCTGGCCAGGGCAATCAGGTAAGAGAAAGAAATAAAGGGTATTCAATTAAGAAAAGAGGAAGTCAAATTGTCCCTGTTTGCAGATGACATGATTGTATATTTAGAAAACCCCATCATCTCAGCCCAAAATCTCCTTAAACTGATAAGCAACTTCAGCAAAGTCTCAGGATACAAAATCAATGTTCAAAAACCGCAAGCATTCCTATACAAAAATAACAGAAAAACAGAGAGCCAAATCATGAGGGAACTCCCATTGACAATTGCTACAAAGAGAATATAATACCTACGAATCCAACTTACAAGGGATGTGAAGGACTTCTTCAAGGAAAACTACAAACCACTGCTCAATGAAATAAAAGAGGACACAAACAAACGGAAGAACATTCCATGCTCATGGATAGGAAGAATCAATATCGTGAAAATGGCCATACTGCCCAAGGTAATTTATAGATTCAGTGCCTTCCCCATCAAGCTACCAATGACTTTCTTCACAGAATTGTGAAGAAAAAACTACTTTAAAGTTCATATGGAACAACAACAACAACAACAACAAACCCACATAGCCAAGACAATCCTAAGCAAAAAGAACAAAGCTGGAGGCATCATGCTACCTGACTTCAAACTATACTACAAGGCTACATTAACCAAAACAGCATGGTACTGGTGCCAAAACAGACATATAGACCAATGGAACAGAACAGAGGCCTCAGAAATAACACCACACATCTACAACCATCTGATCTTTGACAAACCTGACAAAAACAAGAAATGGGGAAAGGATTCCCTATTTAATAAATGATGCTAGGAAAACTGGCTAGCCATACGTAGAAAGCTGAAACTGGATCCCTTCCTTACACCTTATACAAAAATTAATTCAAGATGACTTAAAGACTTAAATGTTAGACCTAAAACCATAAAAACCCTAGAAGAAAACCTAGGCAATACCATTCAGGACATAGGCATGGGCAAGGACTTCATGACTAAAACACCAAAAGCAATGGCAACGAAAGCCAAAATCGACAAATGGGATCTAATTAAACTAAAGAGCTTCTGCACAGCAAAAGAAACTATCATCAGAGTGAACAGGCAACCTATAGAATAGGAGAAAATTTTTGCAATCTAACCATCTGACAAAGAGCTAATATCCAGAATCTACAAAGAACTTAAACAAATTTACAAGAAAAAAACAGCCCCATCAAAAAGTGGGCAAAGGATATGAACAGACACTTCTCAAAAGAAGACATCTATGTAGCCAACAGACACATGAAAAAATGCTCATCATCATTGGTCATCTAAAAAATGCAAATCAAAACCAGAATGAGATAACATCTCATGCCAGTTAGAATGGCGATCATTAAAGAGTCAGGAAACAGATGCTGGAGAGGATGTGGAGAAATAGGAATGCTTTTACACTGTTGGTGGAGTGTAAATTAGTTCAACCATTGTGGAAGACAGTGCGACCTAAAACCAGAAATGCCATTTGACCCAGCAATCCCTTTCCTGGGCATATACCCAGAGGATTATAAATCATTCTACAATAGACACATACACATGTAGGTTTATTGCAGCACTGTTCAGAATAGCAAAAGCTTGGAACCAACCCAAATGCCCATCAATGATAGACTGGATAAAGAAAATGTGGCACATATACACCATGGAATACTACGCACTCAAAAAAAAAAGGATGAGTTCGTGTCCTTTGTAGGGACATGGATGCAGCTGGAAACCATCATTCTGAGCAAACTGTCACAAGGACAGAAAACCGAACACCGCATGTTCTCACTCATAGGTAGGAATTGAACAATAAGAATACTTGGACACAGGGTGGGGAACATCACACACTGGGACCTGTCAGTCAATTGGGGACTGGGGGAGGGATAGCATTAGGAGAAATACCGAATGTAAATGATGGGTTGATGGGTGCAGCAAACCAACATGGCACATGTATACCTATGTAACAAACCTACACGTTGTGCACATGTACCCTAGAACTTAAAGTATAATAATAAAAAAAAATTATATAATCCATAAGCCCAGACCTCTGGATGAAGTTTTTTTGTTCTGATGCTGTTGGGATTGACCTTACATAAATAAGCCTTTCAGGTAACAATGAGTATTTGAGTAATCTTGGGTACCAATTTTTGAAAAATTGGGTGATTCAACATAAGGGTTTATTTATTTAAATAAACAACTGAATTCTCATTATTTTTTCCTAAACTGATTTGACTATGGATAACATCTTTTTGTAGAATTGTATTGACTAGTGGTTTGATGAAACTAACTTTGGGAAAATTTGGATAGATATTAGAAAATTAGGTTTCATTTCTTGAGAAAACAGGTTTGATCCCATAGAAAGATATTAAAAATGAATGAGAATATGAGATATGGTTAGCTCTAAAAAAAGTGAGAAAGAAATGAGTACTCGGTCATAAACGTACTGATTAAGAAAAAAGAAGGTATGTAGAAGGCATGTTAGAGAACCCAGGCAGTTTCTTTTAAGGAAGCCCTGGTTTGGGTATCTTACCAGAACAGATCACTCCAACATCTTCACTGTGACTGCAGTCATTATTTCCCCACCCACTGTTCCTGCATGACCAGAGATCTGACTCAGCTCCATCACAGGAAACATCATCAAGCCAAATTTTTCCATATCCTGTAGAAGTGTTTCCCAGACCCATGCCAATGATAGAAGTTGGGCAGTCCAGCTGGCTACACACCACAGCCGCAGCAATACTGTTCCAGCCATCATCACACACTGTGCCCCACTGTTCTTGAAAGTACACCTCCAGTCTTCCTGAGCAGCGGTTGCTGCCACCCGCCAGCCTCACGCCCCATGTTGTATTACCTGCAACAAGAACAATGAAGCAAGTAGTTAATGGGTGTGATGGTTTATTTTATATGTCAACTTGGCTGGGCTATGATACCCAGTTATTTGGTCAAACACCAGTCAAACAGACAGTGCTGTGAAGGTATTTTTTCAGATGTGATTAACCTTTAAATCAGCAGACTTTGAGTATGGCCAATTATCCTCCATAATGTGGGTGGGCCTCATCCAATCAGTTGAAGACCTTAAGAGAAAAGACTGAAGTCCCCCAAGAAAGAAGGAATTCTACTTCCACACTTTCTTGAGATTCAAGACTGCAACATCAGCTCTTCTCTGCAGTCTGCTGGCCTCCTCTTCAGATTTTGGACTTACAAGTCCCCACAATTGCTTATAAAATTGATGAACCAATTCCTTAAAATAAAACACACACGCACGCACACACACACACACGCGCGCACACACACACAGAGAAGAAAGGCTCACATTCCATTGGTTTTGTTTTCCTGGAGAACCCTGAATAATGCAGATTTTGGTACTAATAGTGGTTCTAGAGGAACAAAATCTTAAGGATGAGTTTTATGAATTGATACTATAATTCATAAATTGATTCTAGAATTGGTTCTCTAACCTGATAAAAATTTAACGACACTAATGATTCTATATCCAGTAGTAAAGAGGGCACTGAAATCTATGGCATGATGTGGCAATAGATATATACAAAATCTCATCCTTAGATATTCCTAATCAAATACTCATAGGAGGTAAAGTTCTGAATGAACATGTATTTGTTAACCTAGGACATTTCTGTCAAACTTACAAGCATAATGAGATTGGCTGGCTACAACCCATTGCACTGGACAAAGTGGGGAAAGAAAAGAATGAACTTAGAGATTCAAATTCCCACCTGAACCTGCAAGTTTTTATGTCTTCCTGGAAAGAAACTCATGTCTCTCATAGCCACAGAACTGAGATAACTGAAAACCTTCCCCTGGTAAGGTACTGAATTCTCAACCTCACAAGATGTCTACTGTTTAAGTGAGGGATTTAATTGGGATGGAACGGAATTCTGAACATTGGGATGGGGTAATATGGGGAGACCTGATAAGGCTGGGAACATTGAAACCCTAAATTCTACTGTTTCTCCTTTAACAGTAGAGACAACCATCCACCTCTGTATGAGAATATTAATTCTACTTTGCTTGAAGAAATTGAATCTCTCCTGAGATAATTGCCTTGAAAGGCACTCCTGATTCTCCTAGCACCCATTCCATCAGCCCTCTTTACATCTAGACTCAAGTCCCAGCAAGCTCCAAAACATGAGGTACAAAGTGTCTAATGTGGAAGTGCACACAAACAACCATGATTTTTCCAATTTACACAGACAGGTATCAGAATATATGTGAGAATGAATATTAAGGATCTGAGATAATGCTGGAAGGAACATAAAGTTGGATCAGGGTGAATTTAAGGATATGAGCCCTAAGCAGAGATTCTAGATTTAATGATGCAGCTAAGGGTTAGAAAGGCTCTAATAGTTTGTTGGACTGGTTGGGTGAAACATGTACCCAAAGGTGGCCTACGCTTAATGAAGTTGAAAGGCCAGACTGCTTCTGTATTTGGTAGGGGAAGGGATCAAAAGGGTCATGGTCAGGGTTGTCTACTAATTTCTTACTTTACCTGTATAAGCGGAAGAGTTCCAGGTAAAGTGAACTGAAGTCTAACTTAAAGACAAGAGTCATGACCCCTCAATCAATTCCCAGATGTGAGCCAGTTTATAGACCCAGAAGCCCCTCCTATGAGGAATACTATTTCTCTTGTCAGGAAATAATAAACAAGAACAAGTCTTACCTGAGCAGGTTACAATCACATCCTCTCTGTGTACACAATTATGCTTTCCCCATCCATTATGTTTACAGTCCCAGATATCTGACTCATTTCCAATGCAAGAAACATCATCCAGCCAAATAGGTCCTGATGCTTCTTTAAAGTAGGTGATACCAAACATACGGATAGGCTTTCCACATCCCAGTCGTTTACACACAACAGCTGCATTCCTCGTACTCCATCTGTCATGACACACAGTCCCCCACTGTCCTTGGTATTTCACCTCCAATCTCCCATAACAGGGGCTATCAGCCCCGGCAAGTCTTAGGTCCAGATCTGCCTTATCTGCAAGCAAGACAAAACCACATATTTGAGATCAAATGAGAGGGTCTTTTCAGAAGACTGAAAAGACTCTCTAAATTCACCACTATAAGGCTTTGCCTAATAGGTGATATATTAGGCATACTTTTGGATGAAAAGTTTGGTTTTCTTTCTTTTGACAATTTTTTATTCAATTTTTGGAGAGAATGTGTCTCTAAAGCATGAAACAACAAAAGCAAATTTACTGAAGTAAAGCCTGGGGAATGTTATAAAGCCTCCAAGAATGATGGATTTGGATAAGATGAGCAACGTGGAAGCATGCAGAGAAGTTCTTTGAGGTATGGATAATTCAGGAGATAACTCTGGCAGGTTTCTGCAGTGGAGTCCAGCATCAGCACCAAAGCTCATTCCCTCATAGTCTTCATTTTAGTTTGTCCGCCATGTTTTATAAGATAAAGGGAGGCATATGTACATGAAACTGCCCTTTCATAAAATAAATTCCTTTTTAATTCTTAATTTTTCCAGTGTTCAGAGCACTTGACAAATTTTGAGAAAATCCTTACTTCCTTCCTTCCTCCCTCCCTCCTTTCTTTTCTTCTTTCTTTCTTTCTCTCTTTTCTTTCTTTCTTTCTCTTTCTTTCTTTCTCTTCCTTTCTTCCTCTTTCTTCTTTCTTCCTTTTTCTGTCTTCTTTCATTCTTTCTCTCTTCAGTTCTTTCTTCTTTCTTCCTTTCTTCTTTCCTTCTTTCTTTTTCTCTCTCCTCTTTCTCCTCTCTTTCTCTCTCTCTTTCTTTTCTTTCTTCTCTCTCTTCTTTCATTCTCTCTCCTTTCTCTCTCTTTCTCTTTCTTTCTTTCTTTCTGACTTTTCTTTGTTTCTCTTTTCTTTCTGTCCTTGCTCCCCTCCCCCTCCCTCCTCCTCCTCCTCTTTCTCTTTCTTTCTTTCTTTCTTTCTTTCTTTCTTTCTTTCTTTCTTTCTTTCTTTCTTTCTCTTTCTTTTTCTTCTTTCTTTCTTTTTCTTCTTTCTTTCTTCTTTCTTTTTTCTTCCTTTCTTCCTTCCTTTCTTCCTTTCTTCCTCTCTCTCTCTCTCTTTCTTTCCAGGGCCTCGCTCTGTCACCCAGGCTAGAGTGCTGTGGCACAATCTTGGTTCACTACAACCTCTGCCTTCAGGGTTTAATCCTCCCACCTCAGCCTCCCAAGTAGCTGGGATTACAGGCGCACATCACCACAGCCAGCTATTTTTTGTGTTTTAGTAGAGACAGGGTTTCACCATATTGCCCAGGCTGGTCTAGAACTCCTGACCTCCTTTCGGCCTCCCAAAGTGCCAGGGTTACAGGCATGAGCCACCGTGCCCAGCCAAGAAATATTTTGCTATGCAGGTACTACTGTGATATAGGAAAGGTATAATATTTTATAATGGGTCACTTTAAAAATTCTAAAAGCCTTCCAATTTCCTTACTTGCTATCCAGTACAACAACTCTTCCATGTGTCTATAATAATCTTACATTCTATTCAACCTAGTATGTGTGTGTGTGTTTTAAAATATAATATTTAATAATTGCATAGGATACCATCATATGGAGATATAGAGATTCTGTAAGTTATTTAATTAAGACACAATTCTTGGTTACTTATGTTATGGTTAATTTTTCATTTTCACAAATTACGCTGCCATGGACATCCTTACACATAAAGTTTTGAGTATGTCACCAAGTACTTCCATGATATAATGGAAACCAATGTATTCAGTGTAGGTTAAATGTATGGGTGTATGAACAGATATATGATGTATGTATATATAATATATATCATTTCCAGATATACTAAATAAAAATTCATAGAAACAAAGCAAAGAAAAAATTTAAATTCCTGATGCAAATAAATATACAAATGAAGTAGTGTATCCTATTCTAGTATAGGGTAACTGGATAGTATAATGATATAATTTCTGCACAAATCAAACCAATTTATATTTATATGGTATTTTAAGAGACTGGGCTTTTCTACATTGCCCAGGATGGAGTGGAGTGGCTATGTACAGGTGCAAGCATAGCACCTTACAGTCTCTATCTCCTGGGCTCAAGTGATATTCCTGCCTCAGCCTCCTGAGTTGCTGGGACAACAGGCATGTGCCACCATGCCCAACCAATTCATAGGTTTAATATTACCTTAAAAACAATTCTAATTTTAATCCATATTTAGAAGAATAAGAAGAAAAAAGTAGCAAGGAATTTTATGAAAAATAAGAATACTTAGGGAATATATATCTCAGTACATATTAGCCTATAGAAAGCTACAATAGTTAAATGTGTTAAAGTTAGTTAAAGTAGTTAAAGTTAAATGTGATAGTTCTAGAAATAGAAGAGGGGGACTATGTATTTTATAAAGGGACTCTGTAAAATACACAGAGTTCTTACACATTATGAAGACAAAGACCTCACACAACTGAAAAATGGCCAAAGAACCAGAAATGCTAACACATGAACAAATACAAGTAAGTTGCTAATAAAGAATTGGGAAAAAGCTCTCATTTGTTATCAAGGAAGTAAGATTTTTGAGCATTGACTTTGGAGCTAAAACAGTCCATATTTGAACTCCAGCTTCACTACTGCCCTGACAGCTGAGTGACCTGGGCGAGTTACTTTCTCTCAGTACCTCTATTTCCTCACTGTAAAATAGAAATTAGAATAGTAACCCCCTTCCTGGGATTCCATGAGGATTCCATGAACCCATATATGTAAACTAATAGAACACTGCCTGGAACACCATAAATATTCAATAACTGTTCATTAATATTATTATATTTTTAAAATCAGATTAACATTTATTCTAAAATATGAAAACATTCAGTGTTAATATGATACAGTGGACTAATATGGAACTGAAATCGAATAGAAGAAAAAAACACAATTTATAGACAATAATTTGTTAATATATATCCAAGACTTTAAAAAAAGATGCATATGGTTTTACATGACAATTTCATTTTTAAGTATTTGGCAAATTACATAATCAAGTGTGAAAAATGTACTTCTCAGTATATCAAATAAAATCATATTTTTAACAATAAAAATTTGAAAACCTTTTACAACTTAACATGATGAGATAGTTAAATAAATTATAGTACATTTATGCAATATAGTAAGTAGCCTTTAACATTAAGATAGATTAGTAATGGCCATGTGGAATATGTCTGTGGTATATTGTTCAGCACAAAGGGTACACACACACACACACACACACGGTCTAGAAATATAAACAAACAAACAAAAAAAGAATGAATGGCAGCGTTGCATGTGGATTTAAAAAATTCTTTTAATTTTTTTGTATTTTGACCTTTTCACTGGGTTTATAATTTGAAAAAGTAGTTTCCAAAAAGCAAAAGCAATTTTTATAATGTTTTATATCAATCTATGAGAAAGAGAAAACTAAAATAAAATTGATGTGTACAAAAGAATTGATAGTTAACTTTGCCTACCAAATTAATCACATTAAATGTGAACAGAATAGATAAATAGATTCATAAATCAAACTCCACTCTGCAATTTCTGGATACCATTATATATTATACTAATCTGACATTCTTGAATATAAGGTGTATGTAAGGTGTACATTCAAGAATGTCAGGTTAGTATAATATTAATAGTGAAAAATTATCAACAGCCTAAACACCAAGAAAAGAGCTCAGGTTAAATTTACTGTACTCATATGATAGAATAACATAAAGTTTTTTAATTTTAATTTTTAAGAAATTAGTTTTCGCCGGGCACGGTGGTTCAAGCCTGTAATCCCAGCACTTTGGGAGGCCGAGACGGGCGGATCACGAGGTCAGGAGATCGAGACCATCCTGGCTAATACGGTGAAACCCCGTCTCTACTAAAAAATACAAAAAACTAGCTGGGCGAGGTGGCGGGCGCCTGTAGTCCCAGCTACTCGGGAGGCTGAGGCAGGAGAATGGTGTGAACCCGGGAGGCGGAGCTTGCAGTGCGCTGAGATCCGGCCACTGCACTCCAGCCCGGGCGACAGAGTGAGACTCCGTCTCAAAAAAAAAAAAAAAAAAAAAAAAAAAAAAATTAGTTTAAGGGTGTGGGAAAATGCAAATGTTATAGCAAGTGAGAGACAAGATTCAAAATAAGGAGTTGCATTATCTATATTTCTATCCTTCCATCCACATACAAGGTATGTGTGTGTGTTTCATTTACAAGAACATCATTCTTCATTTATCCTATATCTATCATCTATCAGGCTTTTAGGATATCGATAAATAACAGGACTATCTAGGTATACTCTCATGTAAATAGCATCATTGGAAATGGTTATGTAGGCTCACAATACTCCCCTGACACCTGTGCCCCCTCCCACTTAGGACTCTCTAGATATTCCTTTTTTTTCCCTTCATAAAGTGCCACAGAGAATAATGATGACTGGATTTTATTTATCTATTTCATTTTTTTTTTTTTTTACAAGATGAGGTCTGACTCTGTTGCCCCAGCTGGAGTGCAGTGACCCAATCACGGCTCACTGCATCCTTGAATTTCTGGGATCAAGCAATCCTCCTGCCTTAGCCTACTGAGTAGCTAGGACCACAGGCATGTGCCACCACACCCAGATAATTTTTAAATTTTTTGCAGAGGGAGTCTTGCTATATTACCCAAGTTGATTGTGAATCTTGGCCTCAAGTGATCTTCCTTTGTTAGTCTCCCAAAGTGTTGAGGTTACAGGTATGAGCCGCTGCACCTAGCTTTGTTTTTTAAATATCTAACCTTTTTTTTCTGTTTAAAAGGTCTTGGAAATGTTTTATACTTAAAATAATTCATAAGTATTATACACACAGATTTTCTTTGTTTTCAATTCTACTAATGATATTCTAGATTCTTACAGAATTATACGTCATATCAACATATGTATATAAATATATCTATATCAGCTACATGGATTTGTATATATTCCTAATTCTCTATAATAAGCCTTAATTTATAATCAGAAATAAACAGTGTATACTATTAAATAAAAAACTTAAAAAGCAGCAGAAAAACTGTTAAGAAAACTGTAAACTAGTACAACTCATTAGTTTAATATGAAGAGAGTTTTCCCAGTTATTTTAGAGATACAGATTATACTCATGCAGTGGTACCAGCTGTATCTGATTTCAGGAGAGACTGCTAGTGAGGAGAAACTCTCTTTTTACATTGTGCATTTGAAAAGTTATTTGTGCTGCTTAAGAGTACTTTGTGGTTTTTTTAAGGACCAAAAAACCTTTTTTTCAAGCTACTAAATGCTTCTAACCTCCCAACAAATTATTTCTAAAAATTCAAATGTGTACTCTCTCATGATCTTTGAACCTTACCAGAACAAATTACTCCAGCATCTGATCTTCGGAAGCATGTTCGCTTTGCTTTTCCATCATATATGCAGTCCCAGAGAGATGACTCATTCCCAGTGCAAGATATGCTGTTTATCCAAATGTCTCTAGCTTCATTACTAGGTTTAGCACGACGACTGCCAAAGACGCTAAACGGACATCCTAGCTGCTTACAAACCACAAGAGCTTGTTCATTCTTCCAGTTCTGGTCACATATTGTCCACCACTCTTCATGGATTCTCACCTCTACTCTCCCTGAACAATTGTCACTTCCATCTGCTAGTCGCAGTTCCAAATCTGCTCCATCTAGGATGAAGTCACAGAGAAACGTCTGAATTGGATTTGGGACAATATCATCAGCATCCCTCTCCTCCAACCTCCCCATGTGAAGATTAGATGTATCCTTCACATACTGAGAAAAGTAAAGACTGGAAATGCATTTTGTTTCAAAATTTCAACAAGAAGACTTCAATGCTAAAGTACTTGTCGGTCTTTATGGCAACAATCTTCTTTTCAATATGAACATTGAAATTAGAATCCTAAGAACCTTGCTTTAGCCTTGCTAAAATTTAAGAAACTAAACATTACAATAAAAAGCCTTAGAATCCTATATGCCATTAATTACATTAATTTTCAAAATATTAGAGTGATTATTTTTAACACCATAAAATAAAATAAAGTGTTGGGAAATACTTGCCTTTCAGTAACTTCAGAAAGAAAAGGGACAAAAAGAATGTGCAATTAGGAAAAAATCTCTCTTGGATTTAAATAGAAACATGTTCTTTCTCATACTGTTTTCTATGAAGAAGCAAGCCTTTGCTTATTAAACATATTTGCTGTAGGAAATGAAATTTGTTCAGTGGTAATTTTTGAAGGAACTATGTGTTTTCGCTCTGTCAGCATGTACATCACGTGACTTCTTTGTGTCCCTGTGACTCTGCTTTTTCATGCATACAAATAAATATATTAAATAACCCCAAGAAAGTAAAAATGTGGAGAATTTTTCTTGAAATAATTGAGGAAAGAAGATATAATTTCTATGCCTCATCTCCTCCCATTATTCAAGCTTTTCATACATCATTACAAAAGTGTAATTTGCTATCTAGTGAGAAATCTGGTTCACATTGAATAGGTTAGTCTCGGGAGATTTGGAGGTTTATTTTCCTATAAATAATGTGGGTCATAATGATGATAATAATTATGCCTAAACCTATGGAGAACTTCTTGGTTGCCTGGCACATTTTAGGTATTTTCCCTGCACTATTTTATTTAATGCTGTTATCCTAGTCATGATATAAGAAATCTGCAACTTGGAGATTGATTTATACAGGGTCACATAATTATCAAGTGACAGATTTTAAACTGTGAAACTGTGAACTGTTTTTGTTTGGTGAAAAAAAAAATCCTTTGACTACAGGGCTGCGGAGAAGGCCAATGTATCTAACTACCCATTTTCTTGTGGGTTGGCCACATACACATCTATTTTCAGTGTTGGGATTGTTTTCCCACCTTGTTTTCACATCTGCATCATTCTTCCTGGCCCTTCCTTACTCTTCCAGAGGCACATCGTTCCAGAAGTTCCAGAGTTTGAATAGCAACTGGTCTTACAGTTAGGGATGTTATATCAAGTCAGAAGCACACTGTTATGAATTCACTTCATTGTAAGAAAATGTATCAAAATGATTAAGATTCTCTCTCTTTTCCTGTTTCCTCCCCCTCTCCTCTCATCTCTCTCATCTTCTCATGTCTCCCTCTTTTCTCTACCTCCCTTTTATGTGGAGGAAAATTTTTCTTGTAAAATGATGGATTGATCACATATACTGTGGGAAACTCTTTTGAATGGTGAAAGTGGTCGTTCCCCAGATAAAACTTGCAAGCAAACTAGTATAAACAGAAAGAAAAGGATTAAAAGATGTTCTGAATGTATTATCCTTCCCAAAAGTCCTATGAGGATGGCATAAATCCTGTGGCTAAGGTACAGCTAAACCCATAAACCACTGTCTACATATGTTTTTCTATGTATATTGTTCCCTGCTGCATACTCTAGACTTAAGCAAAACTCTTCTTAAAAGAGGCAACCTGATCTCAAATTCTATAGGAAATAAGATTAAGGCATCCTGTGTAAGGCTGGTAGAATAAGGTCAGTAATAATTTACTAAAGAAGCCTCTTCCATCAAGACAAACTGACTCTCAGAGGAAAATACTTGGCTCTACATCTAGGGATTCTCCTTTCATAAGAATATTAGAAGGTGTGGATTTAATCTTATTAAGACAGTGAACACGTTTAATTACATCTTTGAACATAAAATACTACTGTGAGAGAAATATGAGCGATATTTTAACCCCTGATATACAAAACTATAAATAAACAGTGAGGGGTAACTTGCTTGTAGTTGAGAGTTGCAAACTAGAAAACAAATGGCTGCAGACAAAAATTCTACTAGTATAAGGTACAAAGTAATTAGCAAAGTCATAAAGTTTTAGATAGGTACTCTTTGGAAATAGTTTATTTTAATGAGAGGAAGTGCTAAAACAAACTCAATGATAACAGAAAAATATAGTTGTATCTATGAATATGCAAAGTGATTATACATTTAAAAATTATACTGAATATTAATATAAGCCATACACTTGTATAGATTAATAGCAATTTTGACTAGATTGGATATTTTGTTGCACCAATTAGAATTAAGTAAAATGGTGTGTTGGGGGTGGGTAAAAACCTTATTCCCATGAGGCTTACAATGTAATATGCTGCATAAAACGCAGACATGTTCCCTGAGGAAGAATTGAAAGTGTCAATTCTTACACATCACAATTGGTTGTAACTTCTTCAGGGTTTGGTCCTAGTTCTCCAAAAAAGGAATTTTATCTGATATAATCATGTGGATGTAAGTCTTACCTGAGCAGATCACAGACACATCGTTCTGATGAATACAGTCCATATTTATGGTTGCAGAATGTCTGCAGTCCCAAAGAAAAGACTCATTACCGGAGCAGGAGACACCATCAAGCCATACAACATCAGATCCTGACTGCAAATGAGGCAAGCCAGCGAAGTGAAGTGCAGTTCCGCATCCCAACTGCTTGCATACGACATCGGCTGCAGCATTGTTCCACTTATGGTGGCATATGGTCCCCCACCTTCCTTGGATTTTCAGCTCTACTCTCCCCACACAGCGGTTAGTTCCACCTACAAGCCTTAGTTCAAGATCACTACTATCTGAAACAGAAATATAAACACAAAGCCCAGGTGAAGTTTTGATCAGAAACTTCAGATTCCAGATCCTGCTATCCAAATTGAGATTCAATGAATGCCTAACTCTTGCTTTTTAAAATTCTTGTACACGTACAAGATTAATATAATAGAATCTACCCCAGGAAAGGATCGTGCTATGATGTTGACAATCCACCAGAATCTCTGGCATTTGGGGAATAAAGCACAACAGAGAGTAGAAATGCCCTTTCTGATTGTGAGTTAAGAATAAATCTATCAAAGGTCAAGAATGCATGTAAATTTGTTGTCAAAACATGAGCCTTGCAGGCTCTGAGTCTAGCCAGCAACCATTTTAGAACTTATAACTGTGTATAAGCAGTGGCAATAAGATATCATTGTCATCACTGTCATCATTCTCTTATTCCTACTTCAAAAATTTTTCTTCCTTTAAATGAACATTTAACTCCAACTTCTTGCAATATAACTTCCAATTATTCATCTTACTGGAATTTACTCTTGAATGAAATGGAACAAATGAAACAAATGAAAAATAAAACTTCCAAAGGTGAAAGCAAGTGTGGCCAACCATAAATTATGGACTTGTCATATTATTAAAATACTCTGTTGATTTAATTCAAATTATCAGCCTTTCCTTATTACCTTATTTCTTTATATCACTTAGCAAAATTGACCACTACATATATATATATCATGCGTAGTGGTCAATTTTACTAAGTGATATAAAGAAAAAAGGAAATAAGGAAAGGCTGAGAATTTGGATATTTTATATATGTATGTATATACATAGTGATCAATTTTGCTAAGTGATATAAGGAAATAAGGAAAGATTGAGAATTTGGATACACACACACACACACACACACACATCCATACACACACACACACACACAAAATCATCTCACCATATCCATAGGGGTGTGGTTCCAGGACTCCTATGGATACTAAAATCTGCAGATACTCAAGTTCCTTAGTTGGCCTTCTGTGTCTGCTGGTTTCACACCCACGGATTCAACTAAATGCAAAGTTTCCATCAGCGGTTGATTGACTCCATGGATATGAAACCCACAGATTCTAAAGGCCAACTGTGTGTGTACATACATATTTTTACACTTAGCAAAATTGACCACTATATATATATAATATATTATATAATATAAATGTAATATATAACATAAAATACATTTTTATAATATAATATATAATATAAAATATATTTTATAAAAAAATTATTTTATAAAAAATAATTTTATATTATATATTATATTTGCCTAGGTCTTCCAAGAATCCAAGAATACATTGTCTGTCTGTCTCCCTCTCTCTCCAATTGCTTGTTTTGTCCCCATATCTGTCAGTTAAATGAATGAGTCTCTTTTACAGATTATTTACCTTTATTTAATAAATTAACACACAGTAAAATCGACTGGTTTTGTGTACATTTGTGTGTGTATAGTTCTCTAAGTTGTAATACAGGAATTAATTTGTGTAACTATTACTACAGTGAGAATATAGAACTTTGTTACCCCATTCATTCATTGAAAGACAGTTAGTTACAGTGTATTATTGTTTTAATATATTGCTAGGTTCAAGAAACAGAATGTTATACTAGCAATATTTTAAAACTATTTCTATTTTTTTATTTTTGTTGATATATATCAGTTGTATGTATTTTGGGGATACATGTGATATTCTGATACCTATATACAGTATGAAATATTCAAATTAGAGTAATTTGGATATCTGTCACCTCAAAATTTTGTCTTTTATTCATGGCAAGAACATTCTAAATCTTCTCTTCTAACTATTTAGATATTTTTTTCTTAATCTAATTATCGATTAAGGAAATAGATTCCCAGAAATAATGTGGAACCTTGGATCTAGGCACACTCAAAGTGATTCACAATTGGGCATGCCAGCTCTTTGAGTCAAAACAGTGCCTCTGCTTTTGTTATTTTGATGGGCTGGTTTGTTTTTTCCTGTAGATTTGCTTAAGTTCCTTGTAGATTCTGGATATTAGCCCTTTGTCAGACAGACAGATTGCAAAAATTTTCTCTCATTTTGTAGGTTGACTGTTCACTCTGACAATAGTTGCTTTTGCTGTGCAGAAGCTCCTTAGTTTAATTAGATCCCATTTGTCAATTTTGGCTTTTGTTGCCATTGCTTTTGGTGTTTTAGTTATGAAGTCTTTGCCTATGCCTTTGTCCTGAGTGGTATTGCCTAGAAATACCTAGAAAACCTAGAATAGGTTTTCTTCTAGGGTTTTTATGGTTTTAGGTCTTACATTTAAGTCTTTAATCCATCTTGAGTTAATTTTTGTATAAGGTGTATGGAAGGGTTCCAGTTTCATTTTTCTGCATATGGCTATCCAGTTTCCTGATACCATTTATTAAGTAAGGAATCCTTTCCCCATTGCTTGTTTTTGTCAGGTTTGTCAAGGATCAGATGGTTGTAGGTGTGTAGCATTATTTCTGAGGCCTCTGTTCTGTTCCATTGGTCTATATATCTGTTTTGGTATCAGTAACATGCTGTTTAGTTACTGTAGCCTTGAGGTACAGTTTGAAGTCAGATAGCATGATGCCTCCAGCTTTGTTCTTTTTGCTTAGGATTGTCTTGGCCAAACAGGCTCTTTTTTGGTTCCATATGCAATTTAACGTAGTTTTTTCTAGCACTGTGAAGAAAATCAATGGTAGCTTGACGGGGATAGCATTGAATCTATAAATTACTTTAGGCAGTATGGCCTAAAGTAATTTTCATGATATTTTCATGATATTGATCCTATTTATGAGCATGGAATGTTTTTCTATGTTTGTGTCCTCTCTTATTTCCTTAAGCAGTGATTTGTAATTCTCCTTGAAGAGGTCCTTCTCATCCCTTGTAAGTTGTATTCCTAGGTATTTTATTCTCTTAGTAGCAATTGTGAATGGGAGTTCACTCATGATTTGGCTCTCTGTTTGTCTATTATTAGTGTAGAGAAATGCTTGTGATTTTTGCACATTGATTTCATATCCTGAGACTTTGCCGAATTTGCTCATGAGCTTAAGGAGATTTTGAGCTGAGACGATGGGGTTTTCTAAATATACAATCATGTTATCTGTAAACAGAGACTATTTGACTTCTTCTCCTTCTATTTGAATACCCTTTATTTCTTTCTCTTGCCTGATTGCCCTGGCCAGAACTTCCAATACCATGTTGAATAGGAGTGGTGAGAGAGGGCATCTTTGTCTTGTGCTGGTTTTCAAAGGGGATGCTTCCAGCTTTTGCCCATTCAGTATGATATTGGCTATGGGTTTGTCATAAATATCTCTTATTATTTTGAGATACATTTCATCAATACCTAGCTTATTGAGAGTTTTTACCATGATGGGGTGTTGAATTTTATTGAAGGCCTTTTCTGCATCTATTGAGATAATCATGTGGTTTTTGTCATTGGTTCTGTTTATGTGAAGGATTATATTTACTGATTTGCATGTATTGAATCAGCCTTGCATCCCAGAGATGAAGATGACTTGATCATGGTGGATAAGCTTTTTGATGTGCTGCTGGATTCGGTTTGCCAGTATTTTATTGAGGATTTTCACATCAATGTTCATCAGGGATATTGGCCTGCAGTTTTTTGTTGTTGTTATTGTGTCTCAAAACAGTGTAAAATAATTAATAAAATGGCATCAACAGGTTCTTACCTATCAATAATTGCTTTAAATGTAAATTGATTAAATTCTCTAATGAAAAAACAGAGTGGAGAGGTTAAAAAATGGCAAACAAGCAGCAGAACAAATGGGCTTAACGCATTTTTACAGAAAATTTTACCCAACAGCTGCAGAATACGCATTCTATTCATCAGCACGTGGAATATTCTCTAAAATAGACCATATGATAGGCCACAAAAGAAGTCTCCACACATTTAAGAAAATCAAAATTACATCAAGTACACTCTCATACCACAGTGGAAGAAAATTGGAAATCAGCCCCAAAAGAAATCCTCAAAACAATGCAAATACATGGAAATTACATAATCTGCTCCTGAATGAGCACTGGGTCAACAATGAAATCAAGATGGAAATTTAAAAATTATTTGAACTGAATGGTAATAGTCACACAACCTATCAAAACCTCTGGAATACAACAAAGGTGGTACTAAGAGGAAAGTTCATAGCCTTAAATGCCTACATCAGAAAGTCTGAAATAGATATTTTTTAAATTTTTATTATTATACTTTAAGTTCTAGGGTACATGTGCACAATGTGCAGGTTTGTTACGTATGTATACATGTGCCTGTTGGTGTGCTGCACCCGTTAACTCATCATTTACATTAGGCATATCTCCTAATGCTATCCCTCCCCTCTCTGCCCTCCCCACAACAGGCCCCGGTGCGTGATGTTCCCCTTCCTGTGTCCAAGTGATCTCATTGTTCAATTCCCACCTATGAGTGAGAACATGCGGTGTTTGGTTTTCTGTTCTTGTGATAGTTTGCTGAGAATGATGGTTTCCAGCTGCATCCATGTCCCTATAAAGGACACGAACTCATCCTTTTTTATGGCTGCATAGTATTCCATGGTGTATATGTGCCACATTTTCTTAATCCAGTCTGTCACTGATGGGTTTCTACCCAGAGGAAAAGAAGTCATTATCTGAAAAAGGTATTTGCACATGCATGTTTATAGCAGCACAATCTGCAATTGTACAAACATGGCAACAACCCAAATGCCCATCAATCAATGAGTGGGTAAAGAAATTGTGATATATATATATATTTTTTATATCTATATCTATGTATACACCATGGAATACTACTCAGCTATAAAAATGGAATGAAATAATGGCATTCACAGCAACCTGGATGGAATTGCAGACCATTATTCTAAGTGAAGTAACTGAGGAATGGAAAACCAAACATGGTATGTTCTCACTCATAAGTGGGAACTAAGCTATGAAGATGCAAAGGTATAAGAATGATATAATGGAGAATAGAGCAGCAGATCCTGACAAGG